AAGAAAAAAAAACAAAGATAATGTATCACAGAAAAAATATTGTCTTCATTAACCCGTTGTTTGGCAAATGACTTATATATGTCGAAAAAAAAAACCGATAGATATAGAAAACAAGTAACTGAACAAAAAAAAACCGTAATAAATAAATTTTTTTAGAAGACAACCCCAACTGAGCAGTAAAATATTGAATTGGATAGGTACAAAACAGTAAAACAACAACATAACAGATGATCAAAATTATATAGAATCATTTTTTTTTTTAAGATCGAAGTGAAGAAAAAATTACAAGTAACAGGGAATAATATTTTCAAAACATAGAAGATAATATTTGTTCATCTTTTATCATTATAATAAGTTCATTGAACCTTTTTTAGTCTAACAACATATATACCAAATTGAACATTATTATAGATTTTTTTCTGCACAAAATGATTAGTACAAAATATTTGTACGGTGCAACAAATTATTGAGATATAAACAACAAAAAACACACTTTTTTCAATGGTTTAAAAAAAGCTAAAAAGTTTCATTTTTCTTCCTTTTTAGTTTTTATAATGTTCAACGTTATATCACCAATAATTCAGCCTAATTAAGCTTAAAATATGCCTAAGAAAATCACATATGATAAATAACAACACAGGTAAACGAACAATAGAATATTTGAGCTGTTTAACTGAACTTAGTGAGTGCTAATCAACAAATAACAATTTTTTTTACTGTTTACAGTAAACAGTGTATATTGTTTATCTAAAACAAAAAAAAAATTATTGTTAAGTTTCAATTTTCGTCTTTTGTTTTATTTCGTTTAACATCAACTTTAGTTTTATTTCGCTTAGCTTAAAAAAGTTGAAACTTTTAACCTGTCATTCAAATTCTCAGAATCTAATGACTAATTAATGTATACTGTTTTCATTTGTCTGCTTCATTTTGGTCGTAAACTTGGCATTATTAATAATGCTCAACAAAATTATTAATCGTTTTTTTTTTTGGTATAAAATAAAATGGTTTTTGAACTTATTAGATATAAAATACTGTTTATAAGTTTCAGCTCAACATATTGACTTTTACTAAAACGTTGGTAGGTAAAAAATTCAAATAAAAAAGAGGAAAGAAAAGCTAATAAATACTTCGAAATTCTTCTATCTAACGAGATTAGATAATGTCTCAATCAATTGTTATACCAAAATTTTCAAAATATACTTTTGGAAAAAAATATATGTATTTTTTTGCTTCTTATATCTTTGGTAAATTATTGAAATTTCCAAGTGTAACCGTTTAGACAACGTTAGTTAATTAATTTTTATCAATGTATTTACTGACAAGACTACCAGGATCCTCACAGCTTTGTCCCCAGTATTTATCATAGTCTTCAATAATGTACGTTACTCTTGGTTTTTGCCATAAGAGCCTAAATAAATTTGCTACGTTATTGATATATTTTAAAAATGATCAAAAAAAAGAAAGTATTTCTTGTCTTTATTAATAGTAGTGAATAAAGCAGTTGCGGGAAAATAGTTTATGTAACTGGCAAACAGCAAGTAATGATCAATTTAGATTTTTTGCCTTATTTATCTTCTAGCAGGGTTGACATCTACTAAACTAGTTAGTCCTAAAAACAGTGTGAAAAATACAGGTTAAGTTGATACTTAGACTGTAATTTCTAAATGTTAATTTTATATGTTGGGAAAATGAAAAAAAAACTAATGAGTAACATTGGCGAACAATAAAGTGGTAAAGAAAAAAATGACGACTAGTTTTTACATCTTTTTTTTTCCTTAAAATTTTACTAATTCATCTAATCAGCAAGTAGATTAAGTTAGTATAAGAAAAAAACTGTTGACTTTGTGTAGCGTATTAAACTGGTATAAACAAAATAGGTCCAGATTTCGACACAAAACTATGATTAATAACTACTTTTTTGGAACAGTAATTTTCCTACAGAACACCAACTTTGTTTGCTTGTAAAAAATTCTTGGAATAACTAAGAAATAAAACTAGAAAAACTAATGTTGATTGTAAAATGTAAAAAAAAAAA